CAACGGAGAAACTTAAAAAAATTGTAAATTTAAAATTCCCATGTTATTCTTATGGAGAATATTGTCAAATATTGTAGTTTGCTTGTTTATGGATATATTTTGATCAAACTTGGCAAATTTATTTATTTTGTACTAAGCTATCAATATGTTACTCAAAAACAAACTTTATTAGTTTCCTTGTAGCAGCAAACCTAGGTACTCGTTAAACCTAATATTAAAGATATATTTAAATGAAAATCAATTCAGACAAATGGAAATTCGCTTAGTCAGCAGGTTTGCTGCGGCCGGGGTATTTTAATTTTATGACAACAACTAATTTGCAACCAAAAGGTGAGTGAGCGTAGCGAACGAACTTCAACCAGGACGTGATTGAGCCATGCGAACGAGCTCATCTTGAAAATTAAGAAGTTAAACGGGGCAAAGCTCGCGGGTACAACTAGTGTTGTATATTCCCATTTTCTTATATTCGTAGGCTATATTCTTTGCTTTTATTTTTAAACACGTGTTTGTTTTATCCTTCCACAAATCGTTGTTAAATCAGACGTTGGTTTTACTAACAAATACAAAAGATCACAAGAAGATCATGCTATATTAAAAAGCTCAGTTATTGAAAAGTCTTTTACTATTAGTCTAAACGTTTACTTAACAAGCCATTTATGTGCAAGGATAGATTTAGATTAACTTTCTCATGGTTTAACATTGTGACATTTTCTTGAATAAAAGCATTAGCTATACCGTGGTATTTGCGCCACAAATTGTTTACACACGAAACAATCTCTAGCTATTGCGTCCGTGTTTGGCTGGCGGCTGCTGGCGACTGTATAGTTGGCACAATGTGCTGTGTTGGCAGTCTGCGTTGGCAGTTCACGCTTTGTACGCTAGGTTGCAGCACGAGACAGAACTTAGCTACAGAGTACTTTAAAGTGATACCCCCGCCGCAGCAAACCTGCAGACTAAACGAATTACCAATTGCCTAGTTGGATAATTCCTTGTCAGGTTGATTCCCTATTTATTTAAATAACATTACGTTTTGTGAGTTCTTAGGTTTGCTGCTGCAGGAAAGACAATAAAGTGTGATTTTATTGAAATGTTAGCTAAGTATAAAATAAATATGCCATTTTTTTTTTAGATTTATCCCCAAACAAGCAAACTACAAAAGTTTATTTACTCACCATAAAAATAACTAGTGTACCTGTTTCTCGAATTCGAGCAATTGCGAAGTACTACAGGCGTTATTTTAAAAACAAGAACATTCATAATTTACAGTAACTTTAAAAGAGTCGACTCAAAGATTATGGAAATACTCACGATGTACATAACGGTACGATGTGATAAACATTTCTTGTAAATATCTTATCAATTTTCAAAAGCTGATCTTGTTTTTAGTGTTTTCTGCAAATGTTTCCCACTCATAGCCGCATTCGGTTGTCCATAATAATTTATTTTCTTCCACTTGGTGGTGTCTATGACTTTTCTATGTTTCCATAGTTTGCAAATCGGCTCTTTCAATGATTGGTCAAGAAATGCAGCACAGTGTTAATTCAGTGTATCCTTATGTGTGTTTAGTGTGTCCTTATGTGTTATTTTTAGTATATTAAAATGGTTAAGAAATAAATTGCTTAATGTTATGCTTTTAGTTGAAAATGAGAAATACCAACTTTTACCCCGTTCTCATAGTCGAATCACGTTGGTTCGAAAAGTTTGCACCAAAATTCGTGAAAATCTTGTCATTTTTACGCAAGTTATCATACTATTTATTCATATTAAAGCATTTTTCTTCATTCTTAAACTCATTTACATAATTAATTTCATCAGATGTCCTATTTTGAAGAACGAGAAGATCCTGGCTTTTATTACTAGCTTTCCATTTTTTTTTTTTTTTTACTAAAACCTACGATTGAAATGGGAGGTTCCGATGAAGAAGTAGATTTAAAATGTAGGTAAAGTTAAATCCACCCCATTGTCCATTGTTAAACCCTCCATGAAGGTTGAAATACTCAAAATAGGTAATTAAGTAGATTTGGTATCACTTATAAAAATGACTCACACGTTAACTCAATCCAAATGGTTCAATCCTCCTCATCCAAATGAACATTTACTTTCACAGCAAATACGCTTAAGAATGTAATCATATTTATATACTTTGCTACACACCGTGAGCTTTAGATATGAGATACTGTGAAGCAGAATATTCCAGAGGTGAAAAATCAGCACCACTCTTGTTTAAGCAACTTTTCGCAATATACACTATGATAATAACAGAGTCGCAATGGAACTCTTGTAGGGATCAAATCTTGCAGATCAAACCTAGCATAGTGATCAAATCCAAGGATACTGAAAGGGATAGATGGTTTCTAATGTTTAAATTGTTAATTGATAAGGTTTTAGGGTTACTATTGTAGATATGAGGCGAGAGGCCTTGCTAACTAGGAAGTCTACTGGAGGTGTTTATGTAAACACTGAGAGCTTTGCACTCAGTAGCAGAGCGATCAGATATTATAGGCTAAGTCGGAATAGAATGGGGTCAGTCGGCCAGAAGGGGAGCCACGGGAGGTAGTGCGTAACTTGTCCTGTCACTATTGTTGGGCTCAGCTCCGACGGGAAAGTTTTCGATGGTAAATCTATTTGTTGGAGAACGAGTAAAATTCGGTTTTGTTCACTCAGAGAAACTTGGGAGTCTTGGTTTTGAGGGGATTGCGTTAAGTGGTCTTTTGAATAAAAAGGGGAGTTAATTGTTGTTAATATTCATGTTTTAGAGTTTTTAAGGAAGGGGGGACCTAGCTTAGTGGTTGCGCTGTCTCCAGAGTGGTTCTGTAATTGGATCTCACATTTTAATTGTAATAGACTTATTTGTAGGGTTGTTCTATGTGTCAGAGATCGAATTACATAAAGGTTTTGTTGTTGTAATAGAACTACGACTTAACTTATTATTTCTGAGGAAACCAACCCTTCTCACATAAGTAAACTCTTACAATAAAATATTCGAGCTCAGAGCTACCAGCTCATGTATAGGTTCCCGATAGCCTAATAAACAGAAAGGGGGAGGTATCGTGTTCTTTACAAAAAAAAAAAAAAAAAAAAAAATACTATAGCAAACATTTAATAGCAATAAAATTAAATTAATTTTAAATTAATTAAATTTTAAATTAAATTAATAAATTAAATTAAATAAATAAATTAAATGAAATTAAAATAAATTAAATTAAATTATATTATATTAAATTAAATTAAATTATATTATATTAAATTAAACTAAATTATATTAAATTAAATTAAATTAAATTAAATTAAATTAAATTAAATTACATTAAATTAAATTAATTAAATTTTATAGCATTGATGTCATGGCGTTCAAGTGGGTGGTTTCCCCACTTGCTTTAGTACGTTTCCCCACATAGTTAGTAGGGAGTGTTTTAGTACTTAGTCCTTCTCAGTATTGAATAGGATACACACTTTGGCAGGTGCTTTGTTTATAACAAAGCAATAACTGGGTTGTGGGAGTGTGAGCCTACGTATATTCATTTTGAGGGGGGCAGTCGTAGGACCAAGCCGATGGAACCAGAGGGCAGTGGAATAGGGAAATGAAAAGATAGAGCGAGGGGGGACCTCTGTCTGTGCATCCACCTAGTTCACATTTTTAAATACTTTGGTTTATCAACAATATTATTGGTCCAAAGTGTCAGGGAACTAAGAGACCCATTACAGTCTTCCTCCGCTTCTGGCTCCATTGCTGCCCAAACACCTAACTGGCGTTAATGAGTCCTAACATGTTCGTAGCCCCAATCGATATCGATCAACGGGCACTCACAAAAACTGTTTATTACGAATAAGTTACCTTTCTCAGCTACATCTTATAGTCTTCATAGATTCCCATTCTGTACGTTCTTTGCAATGTTTCCACTCGGAGTCGTTCAGCTGCTAATCAAGATTGTCCGTGCAATACGTGACGATTTAATTCCCACCCTATTTCATTCCTTTTCATTTTGACTCCATCGCTTATGGGCTTTTGTAGACGGTCATATGTCAATGGACTTTCAGGGAGCATAGAACTCTTACGACACATCTCGTGAGAAGTTAATCATTCCGCCGGCAGGTGGTGACGGCGTCCTCCCTCGCTTAGTTAAGCGTTTGGTCAACAGGTGTCGTTGACGGAGCCCCGCCTTCCTTGGAGAGTAGCCAAAGTCTCTCCAGCCGCGCTATTTTCGCGTGTGTAAACCAGAAACTAGGTCTCGGCAATTGATATAAGGGAGTTCAGTTCGTTCCGCGTTGTTTAGAGACTGGCGGCACGAGCGGCAAGCTTACGTCTTAACGTGATGTGAATATATCAATCTTTTTAAAACCAAATGTCAATTTCATTACCAATAAATGATTGAGAAGTAGTAACGACTCTAAGAGGGCTAGTAATTTCAAATTTTGAAGATATTCACAGTGAAAGTTGTAGTATATTAAGGTTTTTAATGTATTTCGCAATCTCAACACCATTACATTTTTTTCCCATCTTAAAGGACTCAAACTTGTTGTTCAAGTATCGAGCAAACCAAGGAATATAGTAGGTTTCAAACCTTTATCGTAAAGTCTGTCTCAGCAACAACTATACGTACTCATTAGCTATCCTGTTCTTTACAGTTCCCAAATATATGACTGAATGGTGCTATGTAACCGTGACGGACCATGTCACGTTGCAAACTGCGCATCCAAGAAATTTTTACATCAGAATCAGTGTACTGTGTATCAGAGGTGCTGTGAAAGTCAGTCATTGGTAGAAGTTAGAAAAGTCAAACATCTTCACAGCACCTAATGGTTATTATGCTCGTCATCAATCTGAAGGTCACTGGTTCGATCGACTGAGGGCTCCGGCCATTTCCTTACAAAAACTACAAGAAATCCAAACCCCATAGAACACTGAACTCTAAGTGTCACGGATGTGCCACTTAACATGTTCGATGACAAGCTGTTTGAGCTAATAAGATGTTCAACCACAATGTGATTGTGCCACTAACCTGTTCAACGACAAGATGCATCTCGTCCTCGAGCTCCTGACGATGCGGGGAGGCGGCGAATGGACGAGGATGGTTGACCAGAGCGGGGTTCAGGCTGGCCATGATGTACGGAGACTCCCGGAGGGTGCTGGGAGGCTGAGGAAGAGCTCCCGTTGGAGGCACACTGCTGGCGCGAGACCCGGGCATACTCACGGGGGCACTACCCTTGTGTTCCCTGGACAAACACAGTGATTATGAACAAGTTTGAAGACGTTTTAGCGAATTTCCCATATAGGGAATAAGCTATTACCGTAGTACTCATGGTAAGACCTGGACGCGGGACAGATTTTTTTTTTTCGTTTTGAGGTCCCTAGAGTCCAAAAACACCATCCGTTCAAATTCATATATATATATATATATATTTATATATTTATATATATATATGTGTGTCCGTTAGCACGATAACTCGAGCAAAAATGATCCGATTTTGATGAAATTTGGTACAAACGTGTAAACCTACGTTTATTCGAACGAGTTCGCAATCCAGCATGATCGGACCATGGGAACGGGGGTTAACGGGGGGGTTTTATGGGGTAAAAATAGGTTTTTCCCATTTTTGACACAAAAAAACATAAAATTTAGCAATTTCTTTTGAAACCATTTTGTAGAGCTTAAAAAAACAAATAATTTAGTATATTGAAGCGTTATAATGCGCCTAATGGTTACGGAGAAAATTCCAAAAAATTGTAAATTTAAAATTCCCATGTTATTCTTATGGAGAATAAGTAAACTGTTGTAGTTTGCTTGTTTATGAACATATTTTGATCAAATTTGGAAAATGTTTTTATTTCTTACTAACTATTAACATTTGACAAAAAAACAGTTTCACCCTCCCTGATGCAGCAAACCTAAGTACTTTTTAAACTAATTCTATTTAAATCGGGAATAAATGTTATATTTTTAAGTAGACATTTCAGTGTAAATCCAATCAGTCAAATGGAAATTCGCTTAGTCTGCAGGTTTGCTGCGGCGGGGGTATTTAATATTGAAATTATTTATACTAGATGCGTTTTTCATGGCCATTCATCAAGGTAAATTATAACAGTACAAATTAAGGAGTACTTAGGGGATGGAGTCTCCATCCAAAAGGCAGTTATCTTCCCAAAGAGAGATGGTTCTCCTTCCTAAGAGAGGTGGTTCTCCTTCATAAGAGAGATATTTCTCCTTTTCAAGAGAGGAGGTTCCCCTTCCTAAGAGAGGTGGTTCTGCTTCCTAAGAGATATATTTCTCCTCTTTAAGAGATATTTCTCCTCTTAAAGAGGGATATTTTTCCTCTCTAAGAGATATAGTTGTCCTTTCCAAGGGAAATATTTCTCCTCCCTAATAGATACTGTTCTCATTTAAGAATTCTACTCCTCTAGAAAGATAGATTTCCTCCCAAAGAGAGGTTTTCTTTACTGACAGACGTGTAAAACTAATAAAATCCTTAAACATTGTTGAAACTACTACTATAATATGATTTATACCAGAATAGAACATTTGGCATTTACAAAAATAATACGATTTAGGTGAAGTTTATGTCTCCCCGAATATGTACCTTAGTATTTAATATTCACAAAGAACTACAGCATCAATATCTCTTAGACCGTAAATGGAAAATATAACATAAATGGAAGAAAAATTCCGTTTGTTTGGAAATGTTCATCAAATCGTCATAAAGTAAGACAAATATTTATATCCGTTCTAGACGTTTACACAATTTTGTTTTGGAGGTTTACGTTTGCTGCCCTGGTTTGGCAGCGTTACAAGGTCGATTGGCACCACTGAATCGCAAGTGCAACAACGGTGCATCTTGGCTCTCGGTTCACACTTTCACGTTGAATTGTCAGATATTTTCTCAATGCTACAAAAACTTACCAAATTGCTGTAATGTTTTCAAACTCCGTCCAGTTTGGCTTTGGTTTGAGCTTTCTAATTTAAATTAATATTGGCTATGACGATATGTGAACCTACGACTTTGCAAACATGTTTTCACTATCTGTCACATTAGTGACAAACTAATAGTCTCTAGGGGTTTCAGCGAAGAATCTCCACCCTCTATTAAACTTTTAAGACAATAAAAATCAGCTTCTGCCGTACTATATCGTTTACGGCTATCTGAGGCTAAGAATCATCAAATACAATTGACGATGGCATGAAATCTTCCACATGAAGGTTGATGGGACGGTGTGGACTCTTGCTTTCAGACTCATCAACAATAGCTCATTGTACAAAATACCAGAAGATTACATCACAGAGTAACGAAATTAACTCTGTTTCTCTATGCTCTCGTGATCACAACCCTTGCTCACCTGGAAATGACCAGTTTGATGGAAGGCCCCGCGTTCTTGAAGAGCGTCTGGACATCCTGATGACGGATGTCGCGGCTGTCGTAGTCGGAGATCTTGCGGACCAAGTCACCTCTTTGCACTACTCCATCACCAGCCGAGCCTGGCTGGACCTGCGACAGGACAGTAGGTTTTGGTAAGGTATACACAACGGACAACACAGAACATAAAATGTGCATACACCAGTTAAGATAAATTAAGGGAGCAAGATTCTTTTTGAAAAATTTAGCGACGAGTTTAGGTAGAAGCTAAGCTATGGATACCAGTAAAACTAATACTGTATGCTCATACATCACCATTTATTTCCGTTACAGCCTCTTTGAAAAATAACACTTGCTACAGTGGGTACAACCATCGTTAATAATATAACTACAAATATCGAATATGCTATGGGAAATTCTAAATTTTCCTTAAATTTACATCATGTAGTATTTACGTCATGGTATTTAGACCATTGGTTGATGAGAAATTTCCACCTATAAAATCTGAAAGTAGAACTAAATATTTCTCCACTTTACAAAGATACTTTTGATATACTCTATTCAAAGAGTCAAAATGGTCGAAGCAATTAGCTTCTTTTTCAACAAAATTAGAACAACCTGTATCATATTTTGCCGATGGCTTAAGATAATTGCTATATGCTTTACCTATTCTAGAATTAAAGGCAGTGGCTCATCGAATCCACCATCATATTGAATGTATAATTTGATCTTAATATTCGAGCTTCATTTTTACCATGGGAGATCATATTTCCTCAAACTCAAACGTTAGACAATGCAAAATTAGCTTAAAATAACCTTGGACTCCTAAAGTAATTCCACATAATTGATGACTTGCGTCGTCGTACAAAATTAAGTGACTACAGATATTTCGTTGGCAATACTTCAGAACCCAAGTATTTCGCAAGTTGGGGGATTGTAATTTAAATGGGCTCCGGATTAAGTTGTAAAAGACTCGTTCCCTGTTGGAGACTTGTTCTATGAGGTAAGTCTTTGTTTTGGCTAACTGTATTCTGTCAGATCGAGAATAGCCGTTGAGTCATTAAGTTGGGAAGAGAGTAGCGTTGAGTTACTCATTGTGTGAATCGTCTGGGTTTGGTGTCTGGCTATTTACATTGTAGAGTCACTGGGGTGATTCAATACGAATACAAAATGTGTGTAAACCTGTTTATATTTTAATTTTTTTAAGACAACGAGATTTTTCTGTTTGAAAGCTCAAACTAGTTATCAAAAAAGCTCAGTCGGTTTTCTCATGGGTTTATATACTAACAAGCTGTAGTAACAATAGTTGTAAGTTATAAAGTTTCACTACATACAATGTCGTCGGGAGAGCTTAAAATAAATATATCGTCGTACCGATGGCTTTGTGGCTGAACAAAAATAGCCTATATATGAAAATTTAAAATTACAAAGTGCATGAAATGAACTAAATATCAACGCATCCAATCAAACACAGAAAATGTTTCACCTTTTAAGTTTTCGATGATAATTTTGTATTTTGAGGTTAACAAACCCCTAAACTGACCTTATAATTAAAACAATAAATACGCATAAATTACTTTTACGATTTATACATAGTGCTAACGTAATAAAGAGGAATTTTCCATAGAACACTAATTATTGCAAAATAACATCCGGTCAGTAGCACATGGTCTTTCAAAGCGACGTCTAGAAATAATAAATCATATTTTGGGTCACAAAGCCATATTATTAATTGCGTTTTGATTACGATTCACTGGTGTGCTTGATCATAAGCTTTAAAAATTACACCTCAATCGTAAAAATTGGTTAATTACAACGGGTGGAAAAGGGGCGTTACTGTATCTAAATATATAAAAGGCAAAGCCCTCACTGACTTACTCACTCACTCACTCACTCACTCACTCACTCACTCACTCACTCACTCACTCACTCACTCATCACTAATTTACCACCATTTACCTAGGAGGCTGAAATTCGGTACACCGATTCTTTGGGCATTAAATAGAAAACTAAGTAGTTTTTATTCTGACCGGGCTGTCGGGCTCCGCCCTAGTGGCTCTGGAGTTTCCCATGTTAACCTTGTGATTTTTCATATTTAAAAGGAAATTCTTAACAGCTGTTTCTATTAAACAAGTTGGTTCTGTTCTATGATGTTCAATAGCATTAAAGTTACAAGGATTACCAACAGGGTGCAGCACTATTATTTTTTTTTAATTTATGACTACAGCCAATTTGCAACCAAAAGGTAAGTGAGCGTAGCGAACGAACTTCAACCTGGAAGCGAGTTAGCGTAGCGAACGAGCTAACCTGAAGGCAAGTGAGCGGAGCGAACGAGCTCCAACCTAAAGGTGAGTGAGCGTAGCGAACGAACTTCAACCAGGAAGTGATTGAGCCATGCGAACGAGCTCACTTGTGAAGTTAAACGGGGCAAAGCCCGCGGGTACAGCTAGTTAAGTACATACATTGATTGATTTTATATGACTTTTATCAAGTTCATACATTCATAGTCACATAATTTCGTAGCTATGCTTTTGCTGCCAGGTGTTACTTTTATTTTGGAGCAAATTTAGATAATTGCGAAAACAAAGAAATGTGGAAAAGACAATTGGCACCAACACAGAGCGTTTGTTGACAGTTTCGTCTGTGTCTAGTTAACCGTGTTATGTTGTAATGTGCTTTCATTTCTCAACCGTTATTTATAGAACTGCTTGTGAGTTAGATGACAACTAAAATTCAAACTTAACTGTAGTTGTGTTTCAAAATTCTAAAGGTTTTGGCGTTTCACAATATGAAGTATAAAGGTAATAAAACGTTGATAGAATATATGTTTTCCCTATTTCTTGTTCATCTGTTAACGGCAGGTGTTACAAGTATTGATACTATTGGTTGGCAATAATAAATAGTCTAAGATCATTATACACCTCCGTCTCACTCTTAATACGCCTTTTATTGAGTCGGTGACGTAAATAATCTAAGAAGTTTTTTTGGCTTAAAACTCTGTTTAAACGTGTTCATCACCTGATATAGTTAGCAGTGCAAGTTCTGTGTGTTATTCGAACAAGATGTCGTGCTTTCGCGTCGTTGTAAGCTATAACCACGGATATTAGAACAGGTACGATTATGGATCATAAACATGAACAAACGACGTCTCTGGCCCTGAACAAATACTTAAATAACACAAATAATACATTCTTATTAAATGGCGACCATACAAAGTAGGTATTTTAAGCCAAGAATGAATGGATATGAGTGTAGGATGAGTGGCGCGATCTTGTAGTCTTGTTAGTGACTAAGGCCGTTAGATACAGCTGTTAATTAATAGCCCATACAGCTAATGGCAACTAAGGGACCTACAGTTTATAGTGGATTTTGAACCACATTTTTGCCTTGGTATATACGAATTGGTTATCAGGATAGTACTGCAGATAGTCTTAGTACTCACTCGTGAAGACGTTAATCCACACCAGGAAGTATCGCATCCACAGTGCATGCCTATAAATATCCATAATTCGTAACCTCCTAGTAGCTGGATCATATTATTAATGTTATGGTTAGAACGTTATTTGACAGTTACATTTAAATAATAATGCATACATGTTTACTTTTGGACCTGTCGTTTCTGTTTTTATATTCGTGGTTTCTCTAAATTCATTGACGTAACAAAATGAAATTGTTAGGAGGATTTGTACTTTACTTGTACTTGTACGTTAGGTGGAATGCTGTACACACCCGATAATAGAATAATCCTAAAAACAGCCGTAGTTTTAACTTATTAACGATAACTATCAAATCAAAGTTGAGCATATATATTCAATGTTGTCAAATGAAACCAACACAATAATTAATTGTGACTTAAAAAATACTAGTCTAGTAATTACTAGTCTAGTAAATACTAGTTCCGTATTTACCTGTCCTACTAATTTCTGTTTCATAATAGCTATTTACATTACAAGTGTAGTAAGAGCGTTTTTACATCACGCAGGTGAATGTTGTGCAACGAGCGAAGGCGAGTTGCATAATTCACCGAAGTGATGTAAACACGCTCTTGCGTAACGTGTAACGTACAAGATTTTACCTGACCCGACAATATTCAGGAGGTCACGAGCAATATGCTTCATTATCAATTTCACTCATCTTCTAACAGTAACGTTCATTTACAAACAAAAGCTAGGTTAGGAAAATTCTTCAAAGCATGACAATAAAATTCAAACACAGCTGATTTCTAGCGTTGAACGTCGTTGGCTCCATAGAGGTATATTTTTTAAGTTATCCACTCAATGTTATTTAAATGGGTTTCATTACATCACCGAGTGAGTTTTTTTCAACTTTACATCACTCGAGAAGTAAGGAAGTTGTATACATCACGCTTGGGATAGGGAAGTTTAACATGGCGGGTTAGGTAATAGTATATTTCATTACTAGGACCGAAAGTGGCATTTTCCGGAGCGCGCTCAAGTTTTTGTGTGAGGCGAAGCCGAACACAGGAAAATCCAATTTCACATGCGAGGCGAAGCCGAGTATGTGAGAGCTATTTTCACGTACGAGGCGAAGCCGAGGACGGGAATAATGGAGCAAGAGCCGGAAAATAACTTTCGGTACGAGTTATGAACGATACTTTTCATCACGACGCAAAAATACACAAACACAGAATAACAGACCTCAGTAATATTACAACTAGTTTATTTCTAAATTATTTATTTTAAACATCAAAATAAAATCTTCTAAAAGGAAACCTTTGTATATTTCTCGATTAATCTTTTTTTAAACATAAAAAAATCTAAAGGGAACCTACTTAACAATCAAAAAATTAGAAGTTTATGGTTATGTTTATTGTACAGTTTTCATTGTTGGAGACATTCACTCCTTCGTTTAAAAGTTTTTTCTGAAGTTCTTGAATCGTTGAAACGTTTGTAGTGGTCGTGTTTGTTTCATCAACTTTCCTTACTTTTCTCTGAGGACATTCTTCATCTTCTGAGTTGTTAAACACATGATCAATGTCAAAAAAATCTATTTGGCTTCCTGAATGTGTTTTTTCTACAACATTTCTGTTTGTATTCTCAGCAGCTGTTGAACTCATTGCATGCGGATTTTTAAACAGTTTTCTTGACAGTTGTAATTTTCTTCCAATGGAA